CAGAATGCCTGTATGATGGGTTTTGAAAAGTTCTACAAGAGGTATGTGCTTGACCCAACTCTTTTTTGATGGTGCGGATGTTCTTGAAAGAAGCTTGCACGGCTTACGAAGAAATCGGAGGATAGGTAGGTTGGGAGGGGCCACAGCACCCACCCCCATTTGCAAACACAAAGTGTATATCACGGGTTCTGAATATCCATACGGGTTCTTTCTTCTTCTGGCAGGATGTTATTTGAAGCAAGCTTGCACGGCTTAAGAAGGATGGGGGCGTGCAGGGTGGGGCGGGGTGCACCCCTGTAGGTACAGTAGTCAGAACGGTAAAAACGGTATAGGTAAGAAATAATGAAAGGCAGCAAACAACATAAAGGACGAGATACCTACGGAAGGACAGGAACGCAAGAAACAAGGAAAGCACGAATCAATGAACGAAAGGAAACAAAGACAGAAAGAAAGAGATAACGAACGAACTAAATCAATAAATAATTTTCTAAAGAAAGAAAGAAACAAAGAACGACATGAACAACGAAGAAGAACAGTAGAAAGAAAGGAACAACGACAGAACTAAAGCCGGAAAGAAAGACCTAAAGAAGCATAAATAAGGACAGTCATGAGGAACGAGATAACAGAGAAATCATGCTGTTAAGATCCACTTAGGGCCTATAACGTCTGTATTCAAAGAGCAGCAGAATCTACTGAAGCCCAGGAACATACTATCACAATCCACCACATTAGATCAGACACAACAACTTTCTGTATTTCTTTCTCAAGTGATCTCGTTTCTTGTTCTTTCGTTCATCCTGCTTTTGTTTTTGTCTGTCTTTACTCATTCGTTCTGTCGTTCTTTATCTCTCTCTCTCTCTCTACCAGGACAGAGGAGGAAGGCGGTAACCCCCACATCGCGCGCAAACGCGCACCTGCGGGTCTACGCCGGTTATCTCTTTCTCGCTTTCTGTCTTTGTCTTCCTTTATCTCTTTCATTCTTCGTTTGTTGATCTCATTATTTCTTTCGTTCTTTCTTGTCGTTTGTTCATTCTGTCTTGCATTGTTCCTTTCGTTGTTGGTTCTTTGCTTATGCCATTATTATTCTCGTTCTTTCTTCTTATCCGGGGTACAGGGAGCGGGTGAGGCTCCCGGCGCAGCATGGTACGGATTGTTTTAAACAATCCGAGACATGTTCGCATGCACGTGGTGCATGCGTTTGTGAACTATGGCGGCCGACTGTATGTGTAAGGAAGCGGCA